CCTCCCCTCCCCTCCCTTCTCTTTTCATGAGTTAGCACAACAGAATGACACAAAGATGCAGAAACAGCCCCAGATAATGAGGAGCAGAGAACTGAAGAATAACATACAAACGAATAAATGTTAAGTTCTTCAAACTTTTATTTAAATGTTTGCATGGTTAGAGGAGCAGCTCCTTTAGGATCATTGTAAGTGTGAAGGCTTCACTTGATTTTGATTCTCTTAAAGAAGAAGTACTTAAGAGACATCACTGGTTAATATCTTTATAAACACTGTTAGTCGTGCCTCCTGTAGAGATGATTTCATGCAAAGAAATTATAAAGAAAAAGTCAGCTCTAAATCAAATCCATGTTGGCTGAAAGCCAAATGTCACAGTCATTTTGATTAAGAGCCAGCTGCACAATGTTGACATGTACAAGAAAATGACGTGAAAATCACCCATTTGTGATGTTAAAAAATTATACATTAAATAAAATTGCTACTTAAATAAAATGTATTAAAAAAAATGTCCTTCCGAGCATAACAACATACATAGAGTTGTGTAGACGGTGAGAGGAGAATCAGATGAACTGGCGTCTCCACGGAAGAAACGTGTAACATAAAAACACGACTTATATATCGATATAAACAATATTGTCTTCCCTATTTTGTCCAGCCCTATAGGGTCAACTGTGAAGAAGTTGTCTCCTTCAGGCCCTGAGTCATCATGAAGGGTGTAAACTCACTTTGTACGGTTCAAAATGTAACCCAGCCACAGATTCTTCACAGAGCTTAATAAAATCTAAACCTAGAAGTTGAAGAAGTCGAAGCTTAAACTTGTATCCTCCATTCGTTTTTATTATGCAGAAAAAAAAGTCCTAAAATGAATAATCAGTTCTTATATGTGAAGAAATGTCACTGACATCAGATTGTTCACAAACATCCTATCCGTATCCTTCAATCACTAGATCAGAATGTACAGCAGCAATATTTTGATATGGCAGCTCTTACATTCATACCGTCACGTTTGTCTCTGGTGTCAGAATATTCTGTAACACCCCCTCAGAGTATGATAATGATGAGAGGCCTTAAAAAGCAGCAGTAAATACATCGGTATATATCGCTGCCTCCACAGTCATGTAATGTATATCTGTTGGCAGCTGCCCTGGACTCTGACCTTTGGACATTGTTTCCAGTGGAATCACATGATGAAAGAAATGAGCGGCCGTCCTCACAAACTTATTCCTGTTCAGCCTGGAGGTATACATAAAGTTATTTAATGTACCCTGGGGGGGGGGGGGGGGGGGCTCTGCTCATGTGTTAGCGTGTTAAAGTGTGGCAAAGGCTGACTGAGGCTGTGACAGACCACAACAAACAGCCACACTGTGTGCACACTGATCAGAAGCTGGACGTGAGCCAGTGAGCGCTGTTTTTAACCTTTTCTCATCTGATACGATGAATGTGACGCAGTTTGCCGGATTCCAAATCTTATTGTATAACTGATCTGATTTCAGATCAAGTTATGGCTTCATAACTTGAGCTGATTAAACTTTCTATTTTGAGTTGATAACTTTCACGCATTTGTGTTCCTTGGAGATTGGTGACTGCATTTAACCTTATAGGCAGCGTTGTGTCTGTCTGAAAATGTTTTAACAAATTGTATTTTTTTCCCCTTTTGCTTTCGTTTCCAAACATTACGGCAACACTGGAGATGTTTAACTTGTCGATGTCGATGTCAGGAATTAAACCCACAGTATGTAAAATCCGCCGCCAGGGGGCTCTCAACCAAACAATAACAAAAGATGATACCGGGGCTGGCGGGGAATCATGTGAGTGATTCTCTCTGCTACTCCCCCCCTCCCCAAATCAGCACTAATTTCACATTTTTCATTTGAAATCACTAAATAAATAAAAACTTTTGTACATCCTTTTCATAAGACCGGCGCGTAGAAGCGCAATGTGTCTGTCACAAACGTCATCATCAGGCTAACGAAATGTTGCCAATAAATGTTTGTTTGCAAGTTAGCCAGTTAACCTTTACGTTTGAAAAATGACTGAACTATTTCCTGAAATAGTTATTGTTCAATTTGAATCGAAAATAGTCTAACTGGTCTTTCAGTTGCTTCAAATGTTCTCTGGTTGCATCGAATCAAGATTTTGGAGTCAATATAACCCTAAAATAACATCAAAACTACATTCAAAGTTCATTACTGTGAATTAAAAAAAGAGAAAAGAGAAAAGAAAACTGAAAAGAAAACTTAAATACATGTTGTTTTTCATCACACGTGTAATTTGTATTCAGCTTTCAAAACTGTAAGCTAGCAGGCTATCACAATCGAGAGCTACAGGTATTTCTAACAAACTCCAGGTGTAGTGTGTTTAAGACTTTGGAAAAAAGCAGGTTAACAAAAGCAACAATTATTCTGAGCTGAAATCTCGAAGACGACAAACGCTTGAAAACAACAACTACAACAACAACAACAACAACAACAAAAATCGAATTACAGCTACAGGGTTCCTTATAGTAGAGGGATTTCACTTTTTATTTTGCTTCACAATTAATCTAACTTCAAAGATCGTTAAGGAAAACTATCCTTAGCTGATAGCTGCAGCTCAATTTTAAGATTGCAACAAAAATAAAAATAACATGTTTCAACACAACTCCTTTTACTGTGATAAGAAGTAATATGCACTGTGAAGTGTCCTCATAGAAAAACAAGCAGAGCACCATCTGCGTTTGTCTTGTTTTACGAGGATGACTCGTTGTACGGCGTCCTTGATGTGCCAAAAAAAGTTGTGCATGTTTGTTTGTTTGTATAGAGGACTCGCATAACACATTTTGGTGAGACACATTTGGGTTAACAAGTCTTAAGCTTGAAATAATAAAAAAAAAAAAAACACAAAACAAACATGTATATGAATACCATGACAGTAAGTGGAACATCATACAAAACACAGTCCAGTGATTTCCTCCTCTTTTTCAACACAAGTTGTAACGCCTTAAATAAACACGCCCTGCGTTTGACAGGCAGCCATCATGAATCACACAACTTTATCAGCGCAATGAAGACTTCCAGGCAATATGACAAAGTGCTACTGTGTAAGTACAAACACAAACACACTGATTCAGGAAGACACACACACACACGCAGACGCATTAAAATCTGCAGCTCTAAAAACAGACACACTCCTCGCAGGTCTCCTTCTCTAAGATGTCCGAAAGGGAACAGCAAAGCGTCGACGAGCCACAGGAAATGCTCTCAGACTCATCTCTCTTATTCTCTCTTTCTGTTATCCATGAAGACAGAGACTTGTGTATCTGTTTTTTAACAGTCTTAATATCTGTTTTTTTTTTTTTACACCATTATATTTAAGATATGATCTGACAGAGAGGGTTAGAAGAAAACTGGAACCAAAGAGAGTCACAATATGTTCGGAGGCCTCGGAAAAACCCTAAACTTCCCTCCAAATATAGTGTGAAAAAAAAGAAAAGGAAATGAGTATTATTTTCAAAAATGTTCAAAGGGTTCCATTTGGGTTTTTTTTTATTTCCATGTCTTTGATCAAACAATGAATCATCCCATTTGAAAGACAGAGGCCATTGAATTGATGATTTTCTCGAACAAGATGTTAATTCTCTCTCATTGACAGGTGGGATTAAGGGGCCACTCATGGCGCAAACAAGAACAAGTCAAGAATTATTTCTATTATGTCTAGCTAATGCCAATGACCTCATCATTTCTGTTGAACAATAAACAGCTCAAAGGCAGGGCGGCACTTGAAAGATTAAAAAAACAAACAAAAACAAAAAAAACACGGGTGGCACGATAATCCCATACCTCAAATATTTACTCAAATCTTTACTCGATTTGGCAGCTGAATTGTCTAACACATATTCATGTTCCAAGGTGTTCTGTTGCAGGTTACCCATAAATGTAAATCAACAATTATCCAGCAGACAAGATTAAGTCGCTGGTGCATGTTTGTTGACTGTAAAGTGATCAAACATATAGGATCAGTGTTTCAGATTTAGAGCTCTAAGGGGTGTTCAGTTTGAATCTGCGTCACAGGAATGCCAGCCTCCTCACAGCTACTTTAAGATACCTGCAGTTCTAGAAACTTCTAGAGCCGGACTGAGAGACTGATAGTCATGACTGATTGTCCTCTTTAGACACCTGATCCCTGAAAGAAGGTAAGAGGTCAGATTTCCCCCTGAAGGATAAACTTTATTCAAAGTATAGGCCCTATTTTATATTATCTAAATCATTTTGGCTAATAAATTCATAAATATAAACATAAGACGTATGCCCTTTACTTTGTCTGCTTTGCATCCTCTCTGTGGCAAGTTTTCAGGAAACTGAAGGTTTAGCCTTGAAACAACATCTTCCAGTCAAAAAAGAGACTTAGGTCAAGTGTTTGTAAGCCACAAATCCAGGTATGGGATACCCATAACGAAGACTTATTCAGTTTCTTTGCAGGACAACTAAGTGAAGACAATGATACAACTTGCATTCAAATATGAGCCTGCTCTTTAATAGGACAAAATAAATCCAGGTTTTTTTAAATTAGTGATTGCTTCTAACATTCCCCACCAACTTCAGATGGCCTGAGTCAAATTCAATGCAACTTGAACGTTGCATTAAATACAAAGAAAACAAAATGCTGATTTAAACTTGTTCACCAGAGACAATCTCCACCAGTCTTTGCAGTTGAGGAGTACAAATCAAATCACCTACTTACCTTGCATAAATCTACAATCACGCAGCGAGCTGTAATGATGCCATTAAAAGAAACATGAAACAAAGCTTTCTTTAAACACCGTATGAAGTCATTAGGGGAACTTATCATTTCTCTAAGATACTATCAGAGCAGAAAGCAGGCCAAGTCACACGCAGCTCTGCAGCAACAGTCTGCTCTCTGTGTCACAGAAGCCCACTATTCAAAAGGCAGCTTCTTCATTCAGTGGACAAAAATCTGCGTTATAAAGTCTTACCTACCCGGTAAGAAGAAAACTCAAATCTTACCTCTTTTTCTCCTTTTCGGCAGTCATTTCTTTTCCTTGTTGTAATTCCCCGACAGTCTAGGCCTATATGTTAAGTCCAATTTAAGAGTCAAAGCAAGAAAAAAAAAAAGAAAAGTGTGACAGATCGTAGCATTCAACCTGTGAACTTGCGTTTAGTCCATGAAACCAGGCAGAGTGTGTTGGTGTTGGTCTGAAGAGGAGGAGGAGGAGGAGGAGGAGGGGAGGGGGGGGGATCTGGGCCGTACAGTCTCAGAACACTGCCGAGGATTGTACAGCCTCTCACCCGCAGAAGACGCTCCACACAGGCCGGGACAGGCTGAACACCGAGACGCTGTAGCTGTCGTTTTTTGTTTTGTTTCTGCTGACGACAGGTCCGCTTGTTCAAACTTTTCCTTACTTCGTTGGTCTGAAAACTCTCGACGCTGTTCGGTCTCTGACCTGCAGCTCAGCTGGTACAGTAAACGCCGCTGTCCCGCTCGCGGCACGCTGATTGGTTTGCTACGCCAGGAGGAAACGCCCCCCCCCCCTTAAACATCCCCGCCCACCCTGAGAGTACAATCTCCTACCTGATCAACCCTAATAGTGCAACAGGTGTTTGAGATGGTGTGTATGGAGGCCCTATGTTGCCCGTAACCATACTGGTATAAAAATGATTCATATAAGATAGCCTAAATAGAATAAATGTTCATTATCTATCTAAAAAAGATTAGTTTAAAACGTGTCTTATTAGGAATATGGAAAATTAAAATAAAACTTTTGAATCAATGATAAGTCACTGTTAAGTGCTCCACAATGAAGAGAGTGAAAAGATGCCCAGAAATGAAGAATTACCAAGCGTCGAAAATGTTTCTAATGGCAATGTTATGACCTGCAAGGTGTTCACCTCGCAAACAAAAAAAACCCAAACTTAGCTTTTCATTTTATTTGTTGCTACTACTTTGTAACCCATCTGGATGATATATTTTGACACCTTTTAGCCCTTGTTTTTTAATGATACCACACTTAGATCTTAAATTGAAAGAGTCTAAGGGCACACATGCAGGAAATGAAAATAACCAACAACAAGAGTTGATGGTCATTTGCTTCAGAACTCTTGCACTCTTGCCTTGAGGTCTCTAAATGAAACAACAGATTGCACTTTCATTCATTATCTTTGTCTATGCCCTCACAACAAACGCTGTGGCTGTTAGCTTAGCACAAAGCTGAAAACCGGGTAAAGCATGCTAAGGCTAAACTATGGCCCAGAGTTGGCAAAATGTACCCATACTTATCAGGATGTGGACACACTGCAAAAATCAAATTCAAACATTGTCAGCTCCCCTATCACTATTGTTTTCATGAATTGAGGAGTCATTTAATTAAAAATGGCATCCCACAGGGTTTAATTACTACAAATAATATGTCACTATTTTCTTTGCTAGACTTTGACATAATGAGGGTGGGAAGCTGTTAAACAGTGGCAAAGCCATCCTGGTCCATGCAGCAAGCTATCCCAGCATGCTTTGCCAGTGGTTTACTACGGGCACCGAAATATATCCAGCAAAGGACAATAGTCATATGTGGAGCAGGCATGGAAAACTACGACGGAGAATTAGGACCACGTTAAAAATTAAATTAAATTAAAAAAATAAATTTTGAGATTAAAGTCGTAAATTTACAATAATTAAATCGTACATTTACGAGATTAAACTCGTAAATTTACGAGTTTAATCTCATAAATTAACGAGTTCGAGACCAGCCTGCGCGAAAATGATGAAAGTAGAACTCTTAAAGTCTTTAAAGAATAAAATAATAAAGTTGTTATTTTAGTCTATATCAGAAGAGCAGCAGCATCTTGTCCTAAAGGTTTCACTAATAAGGAAATAGGCTACTTCCTTGTTTAGTCGGTAAAAACAGTTCAAGAGAAGTTTTCACTTCAACTTGCATGACCTTGTTAATCTGTAAAATGATGAACAGGACACAAACTGTCTCTGCACATGAGACACTTTAACAAGGCAGACCGATAACAGACACAAATAGTTGTGTTGGGGCTTTACTTATGCAGATATGAAACTACACATGCTTTTGGCACATCATCATCTTCACATTGTCATAAAATATCAACACCCTGAAAAGATACTGCAAGAAACTGTGGCTTTTCCGAAGAAAGAACCACACTGACTTGGAGGAAGTTGTCTGCAGAGGAAAATACTTTAAGAGATCTACTTTCATCATTTTGCGCAGGCTGGTCTCGAACTTGTTAATTTACGAGATTATTCTTGTAAATTTACGAGTTTAATCTCGAAAATTTACGTCTTTAATCTCGAAATTTAAAAAAAGTTTGAAAGAGTTGAAGCTCTTAATAATTGTCCCATTACTACTGGGTCATACTTTTCTATAAAACTGCAAATGTAAAACATTTGAAGTCAGCACAGATTTATGAAGTCAAAGGTGAGTCAGTGCATTATTTACACATTTCCCTGGTTGTAGTTTATATTTACTGGCAATATTTGCCCAAGCCATAAACTGTATTTGTACTCCTCTGCAGCTCAGATCAAATGTAGATGTAAAATGTGACTTTCACAATCTGCCTGGTGTCTCAGGAGCTCTGGTTGGTAGTAAAACAGGCAAATCTTTTATATGATTATATGTAACTGTTGTGGAGTAAAGGACGAGGTGTTTTAAGGTCAGAAAAACAAAAGTAGATTAAATAACTCGGCCTGCATCACAAGAGTTAATTTTCATATTTCCCTCCGACACAGGGTAAAAAGGAGCCGGTCTCACCACATTTTTCAGAACCTCAGAGACCGATAACTACTTCTGGCAATTAACTCGTTCTTCCCCTGTCAACTTCTCAAACATTTGAGATGGAAGAGGTTACTGAAGTGACTGATTTCTATTCATATAACATCTCCTCTGTAGGGGTATAACTCCCAGGTGGAAAGTGCATCAATGAAAGTCTTTTTTTCTCTTACAATTTCTAAACTCACGTTACAAACTCCTTCACTCGAGGCAGAAACTACAAAACAAATAGGTCATATACAAATAAACAAATAAAACAACTAAAGCCAAATTTCATATCACCAGTAGAGGAGAAGTCAAATGATGTTGTCATGAGATTTTAGAAATGATTTTTGGTCACTGTTTTTGCTCATCTTGTTCCTCAGCTTCAGAGGTTTTTTTTTGTTTGTTTTTTTTCGATATTAGTGATTTTAGTAGGATTAAAGAGATCAGATTGGATCAAAGCTTGAAAATGGGTTTTCAAAAGACAAAACTGACAAAACCCGTTCTGGTTTTGATCTGGATTAAACTATGTGTATGGCAAAAACTTTTCAGGTAAGGTTGGGAAACATTTGATTGTAAAAATTGGGATTATCCTGATCTCAACAGCTGGGTGGATTTAAGGTGGATATAAGGATAAACTATATCTATAAAAATGTTAAACTTGCCAAGCAATACAACATTTGCATAATGTAGTGTACTGTATAAAGTGATATTTACTTTTATTTAGAATTTTGATTGTTCACCTGTTATAATAGATATAATGTTGATGTAAGGCACGTGAAAAGTTGTGAATTTTAACAATGAAAGACACAAAATAGACGCCAGTATAAAACTGAAATTTTAATTTTTTACATTTATTTTCAAATGTATATAAAAAGGACTGTCTCTGTTTATAGGTCTCCATAGCTCTTTTATGGTCGAGTCATTTTAGAACTGTAAGTGTATGTGAAATCTTATTCTTTTTTTGTGTGTATTTCTGAGTATTTCTGCAGCAACATCTTTCAACGTCAGTCGAAGTAAAAATTAAGAGTTCTTCTTCCTGCTCCCAAAACAATCCTTCTTTTGGACGTGGTGAAGTAATGTGTGTTTTTTATGTAATGCTGTTAAGTGTATTCTGAGATCATATTGTGCTTTAATTGAATAAGATGTTTTGCACTTTAGCTCTCCAATTACTAACCAGATTATCATTTTAAATGGTAAAAAAATATTTGTATTTTGCCTGGGTGATAGCTGGTTTATTCTCACTTTGATTCACCAACAGGGAGAAAGAAAAGAGTAACACTGACCACTCAGATGTTTCAAAACTGAAATAAAAAGAGTAAAGACAGGATACACCAAACAAGCAGTTCTTTTCTGACACGAAGATATTTAATTTGTTTCAAAATGAAAAGACACCTTTACATCTTTTAAAAATACAGTACATTTGGCACACAGGGCGAAAGGGAAAACAAAAACCACAAACACAGATGAAGGTACTTTATAACGAACAGAACAACAGGTCAGATGACAAAATGTACACGTTATGATTCATAAATACACGGACAGAAAAAAACAAACACCTATACATATAAGATTCTGCACAGGAGCCCAGGAAGATGTTTGATACCGAGAGAAAAAATGTTTAATACTGTTTCTATTCTTTTGAATATACCCCTCATGTTGCTTTTTGTGGAAGTTTGATTCCCACCTGGTTTCTTAAATATCCATACAACATTTAATAAACATAAATCTAAAGGGAATGTGTGGAAAACTCTGGATTAGGTTTAGGATTAGGTGTCTTTAGCTTGGAGGACATTTTTGTGGTTGTTGGTAGACATTTGTTAAGTTAAAAAACGAAACAAACATGCATCATGAGGAAGCGAAAAGAAACAAAATGATGGACAGAAGGAGTTTAATGATTTTGAAATCATTTGGTAGTAAAACTGTTTCGACAGTGTTCAACTTCAATGATGGAATGTCCTTCCAGCTAATCTTCTATCCCATTACTGCTGCTATACACCTGTAATGATTTTACTACATGCACACGGCTGTACACAAGAGTGTTCAGGTAAGGCATGAGGAAATACATAAAGGAAGACATTTTCTTCCTTCTTTTATTGCGTTCACAAATGTGGAGGGAAAAAGTTGAACTTTTAGGACTGGTCCAAGGCAAATCATTTGTCTGATGATTTTTTTTATTTCATTTAATTTGTTGCATTTGGTCATAAAGTCGAAATGTTCAGAATGAAGTCTAAAGTTAAGGAAATATTGTATGTGGTACTGATAGTTCCATCTTGATTGTCATCATTTCAACTTAAATGTCAAAATTCAAATTGAAAAAAAAAAAAATCTCCCTCCTCATTCTGCACTATCGCTATCCTGGATGTTTCTATGATTTTGGTTTTCTGGCAGGTCAAATGTATCTCACAAGGCTGATGTCTCCTAAAGGGGGGAACATGTAGTCATAAAGGGTCTGTAGGATGTATGTTTTTCAATCAGACCTCACAGTAATGTGTGAAATCACATTTTCTTTTCTATTCTATTCTATTCTATTCTATTCATCAAACATTTAATGCTAGTTGTAATAAATGTGTTCATATTATATGATGGCAACATGGAGGCAATAATAAGGGAAAAAGCCCATTTAGTGGGCTGTTTGGTTAAATTCAATCTTTGAATATTTTAACTTTTGGTACATAATTGAAGAAGCAGTAGTTGTAAAGGTTCGGAGCAGTTGTGGTTTGGGATAAAAGCTTTGTAATCAGTATTAACTTTGCTTTGACAGTTCAGATTAGGATAATGAACACACTGTGTAAGGTCCTCTTCACCTGACACAGCTTAAAGACATCATGGCTCATACTCTGTTTCTGATAAATGTCACACTACTACATGTACACTATGAAGATGTTTGGTCAATGTTTTTTGGGCCAAAATAATAATCCATGTTGGAAAACTGAATATGGATGTTGTGTAGAGGAACTGTTAGAGAATTTTCACACCTATAGTTGGTTTGCTCTGGTCGGAATCATGGACCAATTTGTTATGTTGTTTCATAATTACCACAAGGACATTTACAAGTGGACCCAAATGTGAGTTGTGCGAGCAAAATGCTCTATTATTGGTCAGAATTTCTTGCAGTAAAAACCCTGAAAAAAACAACTGTGGATTGAAACAGCAAATCTGTGGGTTCAGGATTTCATTGGCAGTTTCTTGTAGCCAATGAAAGTTTTTAACACATGTTCAGCAATGATGAATAGAGAGGGCCCTACATGCGGTAGCTGGTTTAATAAAAAAAAAAAAAGGTGCAATGCTTCCTGCAGTTTGGTTGGATAACGGTCGGTTCATGTTCTTACGATAACAAAATGCACCAGAGTCCAGAAAAAAGCTGACCGAGAACCATCTTTTCAAGTGGTCTCGGTACGGTTCTTTGGTCTGCACCAGGGTTGCTTTGACAGCTTTAACACCAGTACAAATAATCCACACTAATTTAACAAATGGACTCAAGTTCGTTTTTAACCAAACCTTAAAGGTCAGGTGTAAAAGCACTCTAAGTGACAGTAGGTGAAGTAAATCTCACAGCAGTGGCCTAAAACTAAGGCGCACAGAAGTGGATGTTTTTTTCTTCAATGGATGAGAAAAGAGAAATAAGAAGGAATAAAACGTTTGGAAATACAAATTTAACCAAAAAGTAAACCTCTTTCAGAGTATGGCACATGTTGTTTTCTTTAAGATGATTGTTTTTTTTCAGTTCACAGTAGAGTCACAACCTAACCTGAAACATTGATTCACACCTGTTCGCTAATTTGAAGATTATTTTACTTCAATGTCCTATTTGTTTTCACAAGTCAGATACAGCGAATTGTTCAGGGGCCCCAGACTTCCAACCATGACAAGCTAGATGCTCCTCTAAACGGTTACTGGTGGGCGCTGTCTTCTAGTTCATTCTTGTTAACATACCGAGAGTATAGTACAATATAGTATGTGACCTAATGTCCATCTGGGGTGGCATTTGAGGTGATCATTGGTTAAAACAAGAACAATATTTAGATCCAGGAGAACAAGATTTAATTCAAACTACTAATCAATGTTGACTTATTTTAATAAGATAACTTAAAGTTATGCAATGTGCAATATTTACTTGACGAATAGTAATGTGTACAGTAGAACTTAGTAAAAAAACACAAGGATCAATTAACCTAAACACAAATAAAGTCCAACCTTTTCAACAACAATAAAGAAGAAGTGTTAATTATTGTTAACTAGCCAAAATTGTTCTCAGAAATCTTAATTTTTAAGGTCCCACCAAAAATAGATTGACGCTAACCAATGGTAGAGAGCCCAACTAACTGCTTTATAGGAATTGCTGTGAGTTTCTATATTCAGACTGCACCAGGATAAACTTAATTATGAACGAATGGTTTATGACCAGGTGAGTTTTGATGCATCATATGAAATCTAAATATTTCTAACATGTCAGAGACAACTGGACGATCCAGAAAATAACAACAACACAACAATGACAATAACCAACAATGTTTTAAATTAAAGAAAAACATGAGGATACACAAAAAACACAAGAAAGTACATTCAGTTTTATCACATTCAGTCACTTTTGCTGACACATTCACATCTGTGTGTCTTCTACACAATCACTGAACCAGGCATTTCAATGGTCATTTGATTAATGAAGATTGGGTCCAGACGGTGTAGAATTGATGATTTTTCAAGGGCTCTCTTGAATTTTTATTTTAGGTTGCCATAGTTTCATTGGACAACTGTCTTAATAAGAGAATCAGATTAAAGTGTATACCCTGATACAACTGTGGATGCCTCAGTGGTCATCTTCTGATGTTTTGTTAGTGGTAGCTAATGCTACCATTAGTTATTTTTAATGATGAATGGGATCATTAAGGGTTAAAAAAACAAGCTTAAATGTGGGGCTAAAAGGATAAGACAGCTAAACCTTTTCTGTGCATTAAAAATAACCACTGAGATAAAACTCAACTAAAATGAAAAATGCCAAATTGGCGCTTTTTTTGGTGCATCTTCTCAAGTTGACATTGAAATTGTACTCTAATGATAAAACATCTACTCTCATCATGATGATTTCATCAGGAAAACATCTTCGGTTTCTCGCACTTTAATAGTGAATGAACTTTTTCGAAACGTTTTCTCTTTAAATACAATCATTGGTTCATTTTTTTTTCCATTCACATACAATTGTAGGGAAGAGAGAACATTCTTTAAACACAGAGAATGACACAGGATACAGTACATCACATCAAGTAAAGAAATGACAGTCTTACTCTTTTCCAGAGGTATACAGCTACACATGAATGCACACTTGTACACATCTCTCACTCTCATATACACACACACTCCAACCAGACCAAGTGAAGGACTATTGTTTCATTACTTACAGTTTCTAACCTGCACTCGCATGCTGCTTGAGCAGATATTTTGATAGGATATACACAGATGTACAAACAACAAGAGCACAGAGACCCTAAAGAGAGATACGAACGGTGTAGTATAATTCCTGGAGTGGTCGGAAACCTGGAGCAGTTACAAGAGTACAATTTCCTTACTCACTTATGTTAAGTGTACAGATGTTTTAAGTGTATGTGTCAGTGTGTTTGGGTCTAGGCCACAGTCTCATCTCCAAAGTAGGAGAATCCTTTAAACTCATCTTGGTTGATCTGCTTGATGATGTTGTTGTCGACCGGCGTCAGGATGGGTTCTTCCCGTGTAAAGTCCTGGTCGAAGTTATTCACATCCCTTTTGGTTTTCTGGAAGATAAAGAGAGGGAACATTTTGGCCATGTGTGACTCACATGAGTTTGAACAGGGGATCATTTGTGATTATACGTGTTTGAATATTAACCCGTCAATGTTGAATGTAAAAGCACCAATTCTAAGCACTGGTTTGTTTTTTGATCTTAACACACCGTTCAAGAAGATAAATCACCAATTGACACAACACAATGTCTACGCCATTTCTCCAATATTTTTCTCCACGCACCGACATAATGTTCTCCGACTTGTTTCCATTTATTTTTGCACGTTTCCACATCGACTTCTCAAATGGAACATATCTGTCGCCAGCTATTTGTGTGGTGGCAATGATACATTATACAGATGTGGATACATTCAGACTAGGTCTATCAGATTGTCTTCAAAACTTCCTGCCATTGTTGTCCCTGCTGCTGTGGTGACTCTGTTACATCCCGTCTGCCTCTACACTGCCCCTACTGTGTCATGTGCATATTGCATCTTTCTACGGTTTCAAGTAAATGTTTTGAGGACGTAGACAGCCGAAGCTCCAAACGGACGCAGGGGACACAAAGCATCAAACATGTAGTTAAAGGCAAGAACATTTCAGGCCGAAGTTTGTTCCCCGTCAGACAGAATCTGAGTTTTAAGTTGCACAGTTACTGGGTGTGTTTGTGTGAGTGTGTGAACCTACGATGCGTGGTTTGAATGGCGGTCTGATCTTCCTCTGCTCCAGCAGCGTCCAGTCGATCTCTCTGAAGAATGAATGTAGTTTAATGGCTTCCTCCAGACCCTGAGCCACCACACAGCCCAAACGTTTGTTGGGACTCTTAGTCATGAACTGCAACGCATCAGAAAACACGAAAGAGATGGAGAGAAGAGAAATGAGAGATTAAGAGGAATTTGATTTGAAAAGCCTACTGATTTGATGAACTGCCTCGGTGGAAATAATATATCTCATTCAGTGTTAATAGGAACCAGAAGAGACTGAGATTGTACAGCGTGCAGCATGTGGAGCTCAGGACGAAAGGAGGATGTTTTTGTTACATAAAGGTTTCATAAGTGAAGAAAAACCTAATGGAGTGTACTTCAAGAGAGATTTCAGAGTCAGTTGAAAAATCATCATCTTGTTAATGTCTAAGACTAACATGTATGTGTGTAAAGAGAACGACTTATTCCATAGCATAACCAAGGGATTACAAACTCAATGATGAGCATTCACAAGCACTTTGAAAGGAAGTTTTGTTTCATCAAAGAAAAATAAACTTTGAAAAGTTACTCACACCAGCGTCATATGATTTGTACCAGAACACACACTTTTTGTTTTTTATATAAGCTGCATTTTGTAGTGAGTCATCAGTTTGAGATGAGACCTAAAAACTACAAATCAATACCCTTCCTACAGACAGAAAAATGTCTCTTATTTCTCACATGTTCCAAATAATGGCAGTCTAAAAAAGAAACTATTGACCCTTGCTGATATGAAACCCAGAATGGTATTTAGAAGGTTATACTTCTTTCCCTCACAAACCAATTTGGTGGATTTTACTCTGATCAGCTATAACATTATGACCACTGATGGGTAAAGTGAAGAACAGTTTGTATATTTACAATGACACCCTCAGTGGGTGGGATACTTAAGGCAGCAAGTGAACATTTTGTACTTGAGATATGTTAAAAGCTGGAAAAATGGTCAAGGGTAAGTATGTGAGTAACATTGGCCAGGTCTAAATTGAAACAGCTTAGACAACAGTTGGACGAGTCTTCAAAGCTGCAGCTCTTGGGGTGCTGGTTTAATTCAGTTGGTGGAGTGGGTGCCCAGTATGTAGAGGCAGCAGTCCTATATGCATCCCCATTACTGGTTTGATTCCTGATTCCATTTGGTGCATGTCTCTCTGCATGCCACTCTCTCTACCCGCATGTCCTGTCTCTCTTCAGCTTTCACTATCAAATCAAGTAAAAAAAAAAATGTGAAGAAAAATAATCTAAAAAGGGAAGAAAATGCTCATTGGTTGTTCCTGGTCGGCGCTATCAGAACCTATCAAGAGTGGTCCAGATACAGGATCGATAATGTGTGTCGAAAAACAAAGGTTGGACCTCGTGATCAGATCCAACAGATGATCAACTGGAGCCCAAAGTGCAGACAGAAGTGAATGCTTGTTCTAATAGAAAGGTGCAAGTATGCATCACAGTTTGTTGTGTATTGGGCGATGTAGCAGTAGATCGGTCAGTGTGCCTGTGCTGACTCCACCAATGGTACCTACAATGGGCCTTTAAATTCCCCAGATTTGAATCCAATTTAGCATCTGCAGGAAAACCAAGTCTGACCCATGGAGGCCCCATCCCGCCACTTACAGTAAATAAAGGATCTGCTGCTGAGGTCTTCTGCTATGTGATCTGTGTGTCATTTGCTACAAGGAGGCATGTAACTTAAACAAGCTAATGGTCATTAATGGATTAAATAAGGTAGAAAGCCTCTGTGTTCTTTTCTAAGTGAAAGTTGCTTTCAGTTTTAGAGTCATGGGTACCAGCCCAATTGGGGTCTCATTTTTAGGCCCTTGCAGAATTCTCAAGACTCTACCTTGCATTGAAATAATATCACACAGCCATGAAAACAACCCCTTAGCATCATTCAAATCAGGTTAAATATGCCTTTGGCTGTATTCAAAAATAAGTCACTATGTAGGTATGATTCATATACCCTACATTCCATCAAAGGCTTTCTTTGATGACACTTAAAAACATGAGGAATTATGGGCAGGCTGCACGGCCGTTAAACTGAGCAGAGAGATCATATCATGTGACCAGAATGACACGTCCAATCAGAGCCCAGTGTGCTGGTCATGTCAATGGTCAGAATCCAAGACAGTGTCCAACAAAAACACGCACACTTTCCCACAAGGCTTTGCAGTCAATCGGCCAAGGTAAACGCAAAACTTGTGATGGAAAACTGGATGAAAAAATAAACCAATGGATAAGTGGCATTACAAACACACGCACACACAGAACAAATAACACACAGAAAAAATATTCATGGATTAAAACATAAAGCGAATGTTCTTCTGGTGGAGGAGTGGGACACATGAACCAACATACTGTAGGAGAAAATCAAGAGGAGGACGGAGCAGCGTCAGCCAAAAAAAAGAGGGAAAAACAACCCAATTAGGATGACACATGGTGAGATGAAAAGTTGCTCTGGGAGAGTGAGCTAAAGGGAGTCCTAAACTTTTGAGTGTTTTATCTGAAGAAATGTTTAAAGGATAAGGAACTGTAGTTTCACTCGAAAAATATTTTAAGCCTGACTGATATTCAGCAAATGGGTCAAACATTATTGAGCTTTTATGAAAGTTTAAGTGTTGAAAACTGAGTTTTAAAGGTGTTGTTCACGCATCCAGCTTTCTCATGAAGTAGTTGCATAGTATGTAAAACTTAAGCCTTGAAAAGAGAAAATCCCACACACTAGTCTCGCTAAGTATCACCAGAAAGGTCAAGAGGGAACGAAACATAGTGTTTTTTTTATCATAAATAATGATGCTGAGCAAGAAAATTAAGTAGAACTAGTAATGGTAAAGAGGGTTTGCAGAACTGTTCCTTGCTAGTGCAGAAAACAAAAGGATATACTTACGGTGTCCAATGGGGATATTTGACTATTTAAGCTCAGGAATGAGTTTTAAATTCCTGCACACTGTACACCAGTTATACTGTAACAATCCTCGGATCACTTTTTACATTGGGTGGGCTAGTGATTGTTCTACAGGTTTTCATTAAACAAAATGTTGACAGAAATAGCTGCTTAATTTTAAAAAGTCATTGCTGTCTAAAGTCAAAGTGACAAAGGTGGAAAACTCTTGTTGTTCTCTTTGGTAGAATCTACAAGTGGTGATTGCAGGTATGTTATTGGACCTTGGTCATAGTAATTAGAAATAACAAATTTAGCAGTGTTCACTTTACTTCTTCACTGATATATGCAACTAAATACTCATTTCTTTGCTTGTCGAGTCAGAATATATACAGCTAGTGTAACAAACACAACTTACCGCTTTTAGAATAGACACAGCCTCCTTGCTGAGCCAGACAGGGTAGAGGACATCGTCATGGAGGATGGACTCAAACAGGTCATCTTCATTATCGGCTTCAAACGGTGGCTGGCCTGCCATCATCTCATACATCAACACCCCAAGAGCCCACCAGTCAACTGACGGGCCATACTCCAGCTCTTGAAGGATCTAAGTACCCATTAGACAGAAGAGATTCGCTGACAAGTTGTCAGAGCAAACTTAAAATATTGCCATTACATATTGACTGGAACAATCCTATGTCATTTTGGTTGAGAAAGTACATATTTTTGCACATCCCTCAAGGGTATTATTCAATTCATCTTTATTTTAACTTATAAATGAAAAATAGAGTATCATCTGCAAAGAGTGGAACACTGACATTGTTTAACATATGAAATGTGCATGTATGTGCTTAATTGGGTTTGTGGGTGTGAAGGCAGAGGTTACCTCAGGTGCGATGTAGTCGGGCGTTCCACAGAAAGTGGTAGTGGTGACTCCATCGAGGATTCCCTCCTTACACATCCCAAAGTCTGCTAGCTTACAGTGACCCTCCGCATCCAACAATATGTTGTCCAATTTCAAATCTCTGCAGGGAAGAAAGGTTGGAGAGGTAAGGAGGAGAACTACCAGGAAAATCTAGAGGGATACACATTGTTCACAGGAGAAACACATTATCAAACATAAACAGAGAAAAGCAGTTGATTATGTAGTGTGTATTCTGTTGTTGTTTTAAAAATGGTGGCTAAGTTGAATGCTTTTCATAAAGGTTTTTAACAAGCCCATAGGGATATTGCAGTATTTTAAGTGAACCTGTCTCTTAAAGAGGGGCAGAAATAGACACGAAAAGGAAAGGCAACAGACATGGAAAAGCAGTGCAAACTGGGGGAAAAATAGACCGAGGGTAGAGAGAGAGAGAGAGAGAGAGAGAGAGAGTGAGAAGAGAGAGAGAGAGAGAGAGAGAGAGAGAGAGAGAGAGAGAGAGAGAGAGAGAGAGAGAGAGAGAGAGCAGGCAGTCAGAGATAAGAGCAGCAGTGTTGAGAGATGACAGGGCTGGTCATGAATGCAGCCGCTCTTGAGCTTGATGGTTGATCGCTACAAAAATGTCAACATCTCCTCGATGTAGCCAATGCAACCATTCAGCCCGAGGTGTTTTCAAAAATACAACCGCCCTGACAGGCCAGGGAGGAGATGGAGCATGTGTGTGCGTGTGTTTCTGAAGTCAAGAGCTTATGTAAGCCGTTTGTTTTTGTAAGTCCCAAAAATAAAAAAAAGGGCGGATTAACGGCCCAGTTTAAGAGCTGCTGTTGAAAAGTTTGTTCTTTTACTGTCCCATCATGCATCTTGCTTTGACGGGTTATTGATTATGCGACAGAAAGTTGTGAGAAAAATGCAAAAGAGCTGCTGCTGATGTGCAACCATTAGTGAATAAATGTTTCTTTGAGTTATTTAAAGCAGGTACATTTCTTATAATAAATTAACCAACAACTTGAGCTTGAGTTTAAACTTGGACCGAAACATGATTGCCCTTCAAATGATACTTTCAAGGTTGTGCTTGATTTTTTTTTTTCATACAGTCATAATCAGACTTTAAAAAGTGGACAAAAAACAATTGGAAACCAGGCAGTTTGAAAGAATTGAATGCAATGAATGATATTTTTTTAACATATTGCTTATGAACAAGTCTTTGTAAAAGTTGTCAAATGTTTTAACATTCATTTTTTTAGTTTAATAGCATGCTGCTTGTTATGGCATGTGTGTGGATCTCGTGCAAAGTTCCACACTGTTAAACTATGCTTGTGTGCTTCAAGCATCAAGTAGAAAAATAACATGAAATGTCAGGTGCAGTGGAGCCTGACTGTTGGCTTCATATCCAGTTTTTACTTGATGGTTCAAATTTGGGTTAGGCTTGAGTGACAACAGATACAGATATCTATCTGCACACTAATTGAAAACGTTTGAATTGAATAGATTCAAGTGTTTTGTGTTAACAAAAAGGCCAAACCTAGACTCTGAGATGCTAAACCTGACATACAGTGTGTTACAGATGTTGTTATTCTGATGTTTTATAGGAATGACCTTTATGTTTATTTTGACGCTCTTACCCAACAAATCCCCTTCCATTGTTTGTTTTCTTTTCCCTTTTCTGTGAACTCTTAAATATGTTCGGTACTGATGTGTAATCGGCATGAAATATAAAAAAGCCTTAACCCTCTTAGAACCACAAAACAACTATCTTGTTGTGCTTTTGAGCAGCTGTAGACTGTGCCACCCTAAAGGGTACATTAATGGCCTTGGGAGGAGGCAGGAAAGATCAGCACTTGTTCTGAATTTCCCAGGATGAAAAATGAAAACGGACGACCCTGTGGCTACCTGTTTGCATATCTCATCTCCAGTCAACTCCCGGCACATTAAATCCGAAGCTTACGCCTGCAGCAGGGCAGGAAAAAATAGCACATGAATGTAATACATTTTTGATTGAATTTAAAAGGATATACAGACGTTAATCTTTGTATTACACATAACTTGGCTGCAGGGACATTCAATATTAAGTGGCTGCAGGTGGTCGGCTGCACTGATACAATGATAATGATGTCTTGTTGTGTTTTGCAGGATAACAAAGGTGTCAAAAGACGCTGATTGATGTTATGTACCAGATTTAGCCTTTGGCTTATTTTCCCCTGTAGTTCTATGGCAGATCACAGTTCAATTCAACTTGTATATCTATATATACATACAGTTGTCATTCTTCACACACACAAAAACCCACTAAATGAGTCATATAGAAAATGATATGGTCAGATTTAAGGTCAACAGCTCAAATCAATTGGGAGAGCTTTCCATCTACTTTTGTTTCCGGGAAAAATACAACTTTTCCTTTCAGAGCTATGATTAATAAACTTCATTTAGAAAATATTCATCCTCTTATCAAAGGTAGGCAGGACACATAACATAGAGGATATACCTATTATGTTCTTTAAACTGCACAAACCGATTCAAGACCTCCAGTTTTAAAGCTTTTAAGAGCCAAACAGGAAACCAGTAACAAAGTTGACTCCAATTCAAAGCCTGCAAGTTTCAAGCCTCTGCACCTCAAACTGAAAATGTGGTTTTACACTTCACAGACAGTTAAGCATATTGAAAGAACTGGAACAAGGGACATGGAGTGCATACTGTCATTGTAGTAAAATGACTTTATACGCAGAATGTAAAGAGAGCAACTAGATGTTTTGAAACACTAATAGCAAAGCTTATTTGTAAGTGTCGTTATAAATTTTCTCTATAAAACAGATCAAATGTCACCATGACTTATTAGAAAAGCTTGTTTCATTTGACTTTGCAAAAGTGTAAGGATTGGATCTTGTGTGAATTGCCTGTTGCTGGCTGCAGCTGATTTGATCCATAACATCAGTGTCACCCTCTGTTCCTGCAGTCAGGGGAAACCACCTTTTCATGTTTTATTTTGTTAGCAAAGCTTTAATATCACATAAGAAATTCTGTCAATAAACAGACGCTCCTCTGTTTGGACTCTCTCACTCACTCACACACACACACACACACACACACACACACACACACACACACACACACACACACACACACACACACACACACACACACACACTAGAGCTCACTTACACACACACATACACAAACAAAACACACATAGGGCAATCAGGCTCAATTGAGAGCATTTCCTGTGTTTCATGTTAATCTTGAGTGATTTTTCCATTACGTCCTCAGCGGCTAACCCTGTGCGCTGTGACAGCTAAATCCTCTCTTTCTCTCCCCCCTCCAATCCCTCCATCATATTCATCACACACATCTAATCAAAGATGCAACAAACAAACACAATCACACAGACACTGATACTACCAGTATATTTGTCTGTGTTAATGAAGGCATGAGTGGAAAATCAGGGTCGAGGACTGTTGATGTTAAATTTGGAAGATGAACTTAAATCAAACAAATCCTGTATTAGGACTTAACCCACAGTTTTTTGGGCAATAAACAATTGGTGCAAAAATGCTTTCTCAATATAAATATAACAAATTAATTAAAAGGCGCTAATGTGCCTCAAACTTGAAAAAAATTGCCACCCGACACAAAGAGAAGAAGAAAAAGGCGACAAACAGCAAATCAACTTTCACTCAGGAGCAAAAGTTAGCCCTTAAATTTGAAAGAAATAATGATTTCACGTCTGTCATGATAGTTATTGACTTATTGACATATCGACTTTGTTTCTATCTTGATAACATTTTTTGTCATATCGCCCGGCCCTATTCTTAACTGATGTTTAATCATTTCATTGCTGGTGTAAAGTCTATGAACTCTTCCAACATATTGCTCAAACGGCCAGATAATATATATGAGATAAAATGTGTCTGATATGATTATTCGTATTGTTAATTTTTACAATGACATGAATGTCAATTTGAACCCAGATAAAGTTCTTGAATTGCACTTTATGTCAGGACAATATTACACCCTGATGTATTGGGTGTGAAAAATATCACCATATATTATTTGAATAGCCACATTTAGCATCTAAATGATAAAGTGTTCTAGACTCACTTTTGCCATGTGTGTGTTTACCCTGACATGTTTCTCCCCTCACACATGTCTGCACCTGCTCTGTCCACACTCTCACATCCAAACATTAACAGCTATTTCATCTCTCAGGCTTCAGTGAAGTTTTAAAGATGAGGGGGAGAAGAACATGTCTAAAAATGTTCCTCAGTTCTTTAGAATGAGGAGTTATGGTGAAGAGTCGAAGAGGCGCCGATGGGAGAAAAGGCGAGCATTGGAAGAGTGATGGAGGAGGAGGAGGGAAGGGCGGGGAGGAGCAGGAGGCGGGGTGAAGGGAGAGGAAGTCAGAACATAATGTTCCCAAAACACTTGTTGTTCATCTTTCTCTGGTCAACAAAGTGGGTCAGAGATGAGAGAGAGAGACAGAGACAGAGAGAGAGAGAGAGAGAGAGAGAGAGAGAGGGAGAGCGAGAGGCGCTCAGGTAGCTTTAGCGACTCAACCACCATGAATTTGCACACATCTTTGTGTTGTACCTGCCAACCTCTGGCAGAGTAATAGATCACTATGAACATCATCGCTGAGAAAACATTGTTGAAAGACGGAATCATTAATCTAAATGTTTGTGAACGCCAAACCTCTGATTGGAAGTGAGCATGATTGTTTTTAAAAGGTCAAATGAACTTTGAAAAAAAGTGTGATATTTGTATGATATACAACAATGACAAAGTAATTCCATTCATTGCACATGAATTACTTGAATAACTTGAGTATCTTCTAAGAATAAAAATGTCTTTCTCACCATGTATAGTCATTACAAAGGAGAAATGTAGTTAACTCATCTGCTAAAATTAAAGCCACTCAGAAAGAATGAAACAGTGAAGCAATAGAAAAGATGAGGTTGAAAACGGCGGCTCCACAAAAATAATAAGACAGAAAATGCTGAGACTGAGCAAATGTTTAAACCACTCAATGTCCCTCTTTCAACATTAAATCCTAGATAACAGAGTCTGGAATCTGCTGCAGGTATATCTGGTTTTTAGATTTCCTCTTTTCACAACTCAAGTCTCTACAGAGTGTGTACGACTCTCTTGCTGACTTTGGGTGGAGTACCACTAAAGCTGGAAAAAAACAAAAACTACTAAATACACACCAAAAAATGAACACAAAAGCTCTAATCTTGATGCCTGATTTGGATTAAATTGTACCAACCCAAAGAAACACATACAGGAATTCACAAAGTAGAACTTTTATGATCTTAAGCCGCCATCATTATTAAAAGCATTGTAACAGAATCTGTGTAGAACAATGAGTGCGGGTCCAGCCGGCACCAGCAGGACTGGACTTTTGTCGCTCTAAGATCATGAAGCCAAAATAACTGAATCATTTGACATCCTCTGTTTACGGACTATGGAAGTTACGTTATGTCACTTAATGGGTTTATACTGGGTAATGCCTTAAATTTATGCAACACCTCGTTTGTGTCTCATGCTAAATATAAATCAATGTTTCCAAAGAACCATTTTTGTTTTTGAGTTGAATTTATGCTCTCTTTTCTGTAAGTCTTGTTTATTGGTTAACTTTTCTTAGAATTCGATTGTTTTCTTCCTGTTGTAATTGTTAGGCCTATTTGGTGCTACAATGCCCTGCTTTTAGACGCCGGCATTCTGTCTTTTGTAAAATAATATCTCAGTGAAAAAACATTAACAGATGATTAAGGTGATTTTTTTCACTGACATTGTTCCATATGCGTTTGTGTTTTCCTCCGTGCTTTGTTTTATGATTTTGCACGAGGGGAGCCTATTTTCTACCAAAAATGGACATCTCCAAACACACGCCAATCAAAATTTTACAGTATTTCAAACACTTAATTTTGATCAATTGTACAAACTGTGAATCTTTTTTAAGGCCAAAAAGGAATACACTAATATTGAAGCTGAACAGCTGTCCTGAAGACATGACAAGTTTGAAGAGCACCATCAACACACGGACACACGCACACATCCCTTACTATGGTTACATAAGCCCCGTTTCCACCAACCGGTCCGGTTTAGTTTGGTACAGTACCCATTTATTGGCGTTTCCACCGTCAAAAGTTTGGAATGGTACCAAAATAAGGGGTCCATACCGTCCTACTTTTTTGGTACCCTTCTGTTTGGGTGCCAAGGGTACCGGTCCGACCCTAAAGAGTCCCTTTTGTTTACTGTGTCCCTGTTCTTCTTGAACATACAACTTAATTGATAGCTGGCTACACTGTGTTGGGCTGCACGGTTATCTCCATCCGGCTTACACTCCCAAATAATTGTACAGTTGGGTGTGGAAATGCAAGCAAGTTCAGGGTTTACCGTACAGAACTGTACCAAACTGTACTGAACAAAAACAAGATGGAAACAGGGTTTTAGATGGTGCTGCATGAACACACTATAGTCTTGTTCTTCTTCACAAATGTTGCATGACAGCAGAATCTAAACAACAAACTCAAGCTGACATTCATGAAGGGAAAACACCGAAAGAAGACCTCACTTTTTTCTTTTATCAGCGTATTTATTGGAGCAAACCGCCTGAACCTACATTGAGCCTCCGTCCATCACAATGGTGTTATGATTCAAGGAGTGCGTAGGTTTTGTGTGACCTGTTGCCTGCTTGCTATTGGTTGACAATGATATTATGTCTAAGGAGTACACAACAGACCAGACAGATAGTAGAGCAGAAGTAGGATGGTGAGGTAATCAGGAAGAGGGTCAACAAGTTTGAGTTTCATAACTAAAGAAAATGTTTATTCTAAAAAAAACACTTTTTCAATATGTTTCAATACTATTAAAACAAAGCCACTTAATGAACTACCAACAACAAACATGACTTTGTGTTAGGGCGCGGTCACACTGGCCATCCATACCGTGCCCAG